AACGAGAGGAAAGGAATGAACCCATCAGCTGTTTAGGAAGCGCACTCCATTAGCCTTTTAGGAAGCTTTAAGAAGTACAGAAAGGCTTAGAGGAAATTAAAAGCTGAGTGGTCATTAGGTGGATATCCCATTAGCTAGGTGAGAGGGAAGAGGGCTTGAACAAGAGCACAGCAGTGCGGTTAAAGAAGTGGGCCAGACCAGACAGAAATTCTTAAGTATCTGATGGACTCAAAGCAGGAGGAGTTAAGGGTCACTCTCAGGCCTGACTAACATGCTTTTGGTAAGGACAGTCACCAACATGAGAACCATCATATTTCTTTAACTTACTTGCTCACCGTATGCTGAATACTGTATATAATCTTTAGAAATGGAATCTAGCAGGGGTGGGAAAACAGGAAAGAAAATCAAATGCACTATATAATTGCTTACTTGTTTACAAGTTTTTATCTAACTTTGTTTTACATTGCTCCGCACGGTGTTTTCTGAAAGATAGAGAAAACTTTGCTATAAAGGTTTATCTGCAGATTAGTGATGTCGTTACCCCACACTTAAAGTTTTCAATGACTCATTTGGCTTTTGAATAAAGTTATGTCAATTATGCAAAATTCTTCAATGAAAAGTTTATACATTTTGCGTCATCCAGAACCTGTGTTAAAATGAATGTATTTTAAAGTTCAAATTATAGTTGACCTTTCTGGAATTAAGTTTAAAGAAATATAGCTTAATATGTTGAGATTCTATATATTACACAGTTTTTAATCTTGAGACACATACAGAGAAATTATTTTGAAAAATTGAAGAGACTAGTTATTTCCATCTTAAATGGTTGTATACAAAGGTATTTGCAAATGTAAATGTGCCTGCTAAGAAAATGTCTAAAAAAGAAACACTTCATTGATTATTAAAAATGGGCCAAAAAGATTGTGACTCTGTTCTGAAGAACTATTTGATCTAAACTTATTAAAGCGTGGGGATAATAATAAATTGTTTTAGAAATCTTGAACTACTAGAACAATTAACTTTAACTTTAGGTAAAATATGATCATTAGTTTGAGTACTAAATACTGAATTTATGATATTTTAAAAAATTGATTTTAGTTGACACATTGTAATTGTACCATGGAGTACAAGCTGACGTTTTGATACATATATACGTTGTATAATGATCAGATTAGGGTAGTTAATGTAACCATCATCTAATGCATTTATCATTTCTTTGTGGTGAAAACATTCAAAAGCCTTTCCACTAGCTATTATGTAATATACAAAACTTAACTTTTAATCGTAGTCACCCTACTATGCAACAGAACACCAGAATTTATTCCTCCTAATTGTAATTTTGTACCTATTGGCCAGCCTCTGTTTTCCCTTCTCCCCACCTCTCCCCAGTCTCTGGTAATCACTCTTCTACTTCTGTCTCTTTAATATTAACTTTTTTTTTTTAAAAGATTCCACATGTGAGTGAGATCCTGTGATGTTTGTCTTTCTGTGCCTGGATTACTTAACATAATGACATCCAAGTCCATTCACATTGCCACAAATGACAAGATTTCATTCTTTTTAATGGATGAATAGTATTCCATTTTGTATCTATGCCAATTTTTTTTTAATCCTTTCATCCATTTTTGGGCACTTAGGTTGATTCTATATCTTGGCTATTATAAATTGTACTGCAAAATATTTGCATACTATATATCTGACAAGGGGTTAAAATCAAGAAAATGGGAACTTAAATAACTCAGTAGCCAAAAAAAAAAAAAAAAAAACCCAGTTGAAAAATGAGCAAAGGATTGTAATAGACATTTCTCAAATAAGGACCTACGAATGGCCAACAGCATATGAAAAAATCATCAGGGATATGCAAATCAAAACAATGAGATACTTCCTCACTTCAGTTAGAATGACTATTTTGTCATTTTTTTAATCCAAGACATTATGCAGGCTGAAGGTATAAATAAGTTTAAGAAAGGTTGGCTAAATTAATGAATAATTCTATGGTATTTGTCCATTACTTTATGAATTTATATTTGTACTAGAAACCACAAGACTAGTCAAGTGTAAACATCTTAACCGACTGGTGGCAACATAGCTCAATTTTAAAGTCAATTTTTGATCCGGGAAACCTTAATTTTTTTTTTTCCTTTTTGTCTTTTTTACTGACCGGTATCGGGATCGCAACCCTCAGTGTCGCGCCCGCACCGGGGACCGGCAATGGGATCGCAACCCTCGGTGTTGCGCCCGCACCGCGCTCAGCCAGTGAGCGGGAACCGGTCTCCACATGGGATCCGAACCCTCGGCGGGAGCGCCGCTGCACTCCCAAGCGGTGCACTCTCCAGTGTGCCACCAGGCCAGCCTGAAACCTTAATTTGTAAGCTTAAATTGATTGCCATGATGTCAGATATACAATGGGGTTATTAATCTAAGGATACTCATACGTATAAGTAAAATCTTGCTCAGTGATATAACTGGTATATGTGAATTTGTATGTGTGTGCATGTGTGTGTGTGTTTGTACTTATTCAGATGTATGCCTGTGCCTTGCATTTAACTCTGCTTTACTCCCAGCTCTCTCTCAGTAATGGATGACACTCTCCTTGGCTCCCTACCATTTTTCCTCCCAGTGAGATCAAAGAAGTATATGCACATTTTTGATAGCTGAGAATACAGTATATCCTTGGCAGCATAGGTATGAATAATCTATAAGATATGTATTTACAACTCAAAATTAGTCTTAAATCTTAAAAACTGTTTTTATTTTTGAAATTTGTCAAAAACAGCAGTAGTTTCCTAACAGTGAAGAAAAATATTATTTTCTTTCTAGCCATCCTTTTACTTTCATTAAATATTTTGTTAAAACATACAACTAATATAGTTTTATGAATTTCAGAATTGTATTTAGTCTTTCTAAGTTACTGACTTGAAGTGATCATGCAACAGAGGCCAATTTAGAAAATACTAGATATTTTACTCTCCAGTTAAAATATTTGATGTAAAATGTGCTCTTATTTTCATTTAAAAATATTTCCTTCCAGGGTTATACATCACTATAATGAAATATACAATTTTAGTGAACAATATTTTTTCAAGTGGCAAAGTTAGGTTTACAGTGGGAAATAAACCTTTGTGAATAGAACATATACATTCTTAGTCTAAACACTGAATTAATGCACTCCTTGTTATATGATTTCCTTTCTAACATCAACATTTTAAGTAAAATACTCGAGAGACGCTTGAGAAAATGGAATCCTAGACAATGATAAAACCCAAGTCTTTTCTTCGTTCTCAGATCCCCTATCACCACAACCTCCAAGCTCTGCCTTTCCTTAGCATTAACATTTACTTCCCAAACAACTTACCGAAGTGGGGAAATGATTAAACATGTTTATATGCTAAGGGGAAGGAACTAGTGGAGAAGGGGAGTCTCTGATACAGATGGAGGGGTAATTGATTGAAAAAGATCCCTGAGGACAGAGGCAAGGATGGATTCCAGAGTCTACCGGATGAATTTGCTTTTGTATAGGAGGAAGAACTTTTCTGCGCTGATACTGGAAAAAGGTCCACATGGGTTTGGGCTGATGAGAGACATGATGTTGAGGGAATTTACACCTGATGGTCTATTTTCTCTGCAAAATCTATAACAGGGAGAATTTTAAATAGAGGAAGTGAGATGAGTGGGGAGAATGTCTGATCACACAGATATGTTAGATAACAAACTCATTAAAAAGTTGGTTGGTTGAGTAAATCAAGTAGGAATATAAAAAGGTGGTATCGCACAGTGCACTTTCAATAACCTAAAGTCAATTATATGAGGAAATTGTTAGTGTTCCTGTGAGGATTACAAAATACCTTTTGGGGAACAGGTTCTCTGTTCCTAAACATTGTGTATTTTTAATTAAAAGGAAAAAAAAATGTATGACCAATTCTTTCTCTAATGACCACCCTTGTGCTTTATTTGATATTATAGAATATGAATGCAAAATGCTGATCAACTGAAATGTCACACATTGAAAATAAACTAGCTGTTAAATGTAATGGAATAAAGAGCTTTTGATATGAAATGATAGAGTGTCTATAACTTTGCTAAAATATACTGAAATTAAATATATTTTTGAAAAAACTGGAAGAAGGTGCTTAATATTTTTATTTCAAAATAGGCAATGATTAGTGAGAAATACAGCTGTACCTCTTTGTGCTCTTTTCCACTGTCCCAAAGCCTTGCCTTGCTCTAAGTAAAGCCAACAGAGTTCCAACACTGACCTTGTGGTTGTGAAAAACTGCTAAATCTCAAAACTGCCTCATTGCCATTTTCTGTGTAAATATTTTCATTTATCTCACTAAATACCATATTTTGCCTCTCCCTACCAACCACCCCCCCCAGTATCATAGTCTAAGCAACAGCTGACAGCATCTCTTATTCCCTTTTGTGGTACACATTAGGTGCCACAGTTGACCTTGGCCTCTGCTCGTTTGTAAACAAGGTTTTATGTGGGTCAATTGACCATATGTCCTAAGAGAAGGAATAAAATAAAACATTTCTCTTTGTAATGCTATTCAATTCTTTCCTTTGTGAATCTGCTTACTGAAGTTTTGCAGATGCAGGAGTCATATAATGTGTCCATTTGCTGGGGAACTGCACTGCATTTTAACTGCTTCTAGAAACAATATCTCCAGCCTTCTAAATGAGATTGATGTGATAGATTTGCAGGTACTTGAAGAAACACATGTGCTGGAACAGCAAAGTTTTTTTTGTTGTTGTTTTTGTTTTTTTAAGGAAAAATCAGAATCCTACGGCATATTCTTAATATTCTTCTAAAAAGAATAAGAGAAGAAAAGACATGTTTTGTACTTCCAACTGAAACTTTTCATTGTTCCTGATGTACAAAACATAAGCATATTTCAGTATAGCAAAGAGAACCTTATGGAATAGGACAGTTTTATTTGGTCATCTAAGCTTAAATGGCTACAGTATTATGTTAATTGATTTTTTCCCCTCTCTTTTAGGGTCCTCTGGGGCCTCCAGGGCAAAAGGTAGAGTATAAGCAACAATACTGTGAAAGTAATCATACTCCCATTGCCTAATGGTGAGCAGGAGAGGTGAATGGCATTAGCTACTGTAAGCCGTTGCTGAAGCAGTTAGTCTGGTTTGTACATTCTGCTTTCTAAAACTGCAGTCATATGATGTGAGCTAATATTTGATTTCTAATCGACTCTATTACAGAAAATTCAATAAATCCAGAGCAGACTGTTTTTAAGCTGTCTGCCGAATGTAGAGAGGTTATTGAAAATTTTAATTCGAACACTGGTTAAATATTGTTACAAAACTTACAATATAAAGAATCATATGACATTGCAAATTGAATGCCTGGCCTTGCTCAAATATATGATTGCCAAATGGCCACAGAACTGACCAGAGCAAAAGATGTGCTGGTTGTTGGTTCATCACATTTGAGCAACCCACTAGTGTCCTCCTTTGCGGATGTAACCTGAAAAGTGACTTCCTGATGGTCGTTTCAGTGTTATCCACAGTCATCAGAATTGACCATTACATTAGGGAGAAATTGGTAAAGGGCCACAAAAAAATGTTTATATTGTGCAATGATAAAATAAAAATAAATAAGTTCTCTTCACATTAAAAAAAAAAATTGACCATCACATTCTGATGGAGAGGATCTAGGATTTCTAAAATTACACCTATACTACAGTAGTAAATATATCAGGAGTAGGTTGTTGGACCTTTGCTAACAAAATACACTAAGTCCCCATTCCCTGCTAACTTCCCTCCCCAAGGTGATGATGGGAAAGGGATATTTAACCTGCAGAAAACTAAGGAAAACAGTTGTGTTATAACAAGTGGAAAAGTGATTATTCTTTATCTTTGGAATCCATCAAAGATAGAGACTTTTTATCCTCCAAGCACTGGGCATTTGGCATCTGTTGTAACATAATCCTACAAACCAAGCCAAAGCCAATGAGTTCTGAGACAACTTGTGTATAAGAACACTTTGTCTTTCGCAATAATGTGTCTGTTAAGCATGGTGTGAAATTGTAAAGCTACCCTAATCCACATTCGACCAGGATAAAATTACTGCTTCAGGCTTCAAGAAGTCCTTTAATGACCCACTCTATATAATCACTGAACACGCTAAGGAACTTTGTGTGTAAGAACTCAATTTGTCTTTATTGTAATTACTGAGGGTTTTTTTGTGGACTATTTTTTTTAAAAGCATTTTAGGTTTACAATTATTATTTTAAAAAACCCTTTTCCCATTATTAATAAAGAAATTTAATATCATACCTCTACTAAGAAAAATCTGCTTTCTAGTTCTAGACAAAGAATAAGCACATTGTATTTAAAAATGGTTTCTCCAGAGCCTAACAGGGAGGTTTAATGGAGGGAAATGACATCACTATTTGAAAATATTTGCTAATGTTTCTCTATCCAGTTTAATGTTATGGATTTTCTCAGGTAATAATTAGCTCTCTTATTCTCTGCTCACCCCATCTATGTCCAACCATTCATAATCACCCCAATATGCATGTGTATAGAGTATAGGTGTATTCTTATAGGTGTATATAGAGTAGGGAAAATGCTGTATTTAACATTCATCGTGATAAACTAAATGTACTCTATTGATGTCATGGTAAAACTAACATGTATTATTTCATTGGGTAAAAAAAGTTATTCTCACAGAGCGGTCCTATTAAAACCTACTGAATCTAGAAGAAATCTCATGCATGAACACACACACGCACACACGCACACACGCACGCACACACGCATCCCTTGAAGTATTTTATAACAAAGGTGTGTTGTTCCTGGTCGGTGAATATCATTTGTGACACGTTTTTAAGTCTGCTCTGGAAGACATATTCACACTCACGTGGCTTAAATATACTCTCTAAAAGAACAGGAGGAAAATGCTTCAAATACAATAAATTTGAGTTTGCAACATGAGTTCCTTATTTAATTATGGAACAAGTGATTGTTACTTTAATTACCTTTTGTTTGTGGTATTTAAACTCATAAAATTCAAGTGTTAGTGCTACTGCTAGGCTTTTTCCAGATGGAACTAAACCTATTTATTTCTTAAGAACACCAAAATTTAGAGCCATGTGGTCTTTATGGATATGGATCTCAACTAATAATGTAAATTTCTTTAAAATCATATTAGGGTTAAGAGGATATTTAGAAACAAGGTTAAATTTTAACTCTGTAGTTTCTAGGGAAGCTTGAGGAATCTGTCTACATTATTATATGTTTGAACACAGTGGATAAGGTCTGAAAATCATAACCTCCCAGACATGTTTTAGCAAGGTAGTTATGGCTGATGTACTAATACAGTATAAATTGAGAATTGAAATATTGTGTGATTATCATATCAACTTAATTTAATCATGTGTCTTCTTAGGGTTCTTTTGGAGCACCAGGAATTCCAGGGATGAATGGGCAAAAGGTGAGTTTTATAAAATATAGTATTTTAAAAATAATCTGTTGAGTATTAAAATTACAAAATTATTCTAGTCAGCAATATTAATAATAAGTCTATATGCTTATAAAAACACTGCATATACTTTTGAAATACAGAAAAATTACAAAAATGATCAAAGTCTAATTTTTTTTTTGTCTTTTGTCTTTTTTCCGTGTCCGGCAACGGATCGCAACCCTCAGTGTTGCCCCCGTACCGGACCGGGGACCGGCAACGGGATTGCAAACCTCGGCGTTGCTCCCGCGCCTCGCTCAGCCAGTGAGCGGGAACCGGTCTGTATGTGGGATCCGAACCCTCGGGTGGGAGCGCCGCCGCGCTTCCCAAGCGGCGCACTATCCAGTGCGCCACCGGGCCGGCCCCTCAAAGTCTAATTTTTAAAGATGCATTAAATAGTCAAAAACTCTTCAAACATTTTCTGTTGTATTTTGGATTTATTACTTTTTGATAAATTATTTATGTGATACAACTGTATCTTTCTTATAGGTGTATATGGAGTAGGGAAAATGCTATATTTAACAGTCATTGTGATAAACTAAATGTACTCTATTGATGTCATGGTAAAACTAACATGTATTATTTCATTGGGTAAAAAAAGTTATTCTCACAGAGCAGTCCTATTAAAACCTACTGAATCTAGAAGAAATCTCATTTTACCGTCAAGCAAAGTTAGGAGTTAAATGGACTTGCCAAGCTCTGGTACTACACTTTTATTTTATCACTAATAGTGAGGGGAAAAATAAAGTTAAAAAAACAAAAACAAAACTCTGCATTCATATATCTATGCGCATATGTATTTTTACTCTTGTAACATACTTACTAGCATCTAGCATTATCTTGCAGATAGGTATGGTATTCAGTGCTCCCCAACATCCTTGACCAACTCTTCAATTTGGAACCTCTCCGGAGACCAGGAAAGCCATTGTGGCAGCTAACAAAACCCATAGCTGGGCCAGTCTACCAGGGGCCAGGGAGCTGAGCTAGGGATTTTCTTGTCTCCTTCAGAGCTCTTAGCCTGGCCCTATGAATTCCTGTGCCCCAGGATCTCGTCTTCCCAGAGTATTTTAAATCCATGTGCCCTGGGCCACATTCTGAAATCATAAGGAACCCAACCCTTATAGGCAGAATAAACCTCCTCATGACCTTTTCCATCTTGTCCATCTTTTCTTCTCTATCAATAAGACATAAACAACCACGGTTTTAAACCTCCTGACTAAGAGCATGAGTCTACCACTTGGAAGCTGTGTAAATTTTGACAAAGCCTTTGAATTCTCTGGCCTCCATTTCCTCATCTGTAGAAAGGATACAACATCAGTTTCTACCAAATGGGATCCATGTGAGGATGAAATGAATAAGTAGATGGACAGCTCTTGCAACAGTGTTTGATATTACTATTAAACTTTTCCTTCATTTCATTTCAGTGAAATTCTGGAGATTTGATTAATCTGTATTTTAAAATAGGCACTCTGTTTCCAGAATTACTCAGTTCCGAAGTGAAATTAATGTTCTCAATCAAGGTTTATGGTATTCCTTAGTCCATAAACCGAATACCGCACACTCGTCAGTAGTTAACTACCCCTGCCTCAGCTCCATTTCCCACTTAGTAAAATGTATATCCATTTGCTTCACAAATTCTGGTAAAGACAGAAGATTAACTTTCTACTTAGAACATTGCAGATCATGGAGGGAAACATAAGCAAGTATTTGAAAATGTATTTATTCTAAGACAGATTTGAAAAGCATATAACTCAAGATAATATTTAGAAAGAACAAAATATGGATATAGCGTAAGTGGTGTGTTTAACACTGGTGAAAAACAAAACTTGTGTGCCTGAGATTAATGTTTCGCTTTTTCTTCTTTGTTTCTTTTCTATTTTCAACTTTGAGACAATCATAAAAATTTACAGAAACCTTTAACCTGAAACAAAACAACTTTAAAACTGTCACATACACTCTTTTCAAGACTGTGAATTCTTTATTTTTGCAAAGGAAATATGCAATTTCCTTAGCAAGAGAAAGGAATGTGACATTTTCTTGTCCTAGTCACCAAGTTTAAACTGTATTTCAGGGAAATAGACAGTTAATATTTGCAGTTTTATGTCTTGTTATACATCTTTGTGACATTTTTAAAGTGTTTTCTATAAAACCTAGGGAAACTAAATGATTTCACGCTTTTATAAAGGAATTAGCAAAATGTAGTATAAGTTTGTTTTTTCTGCTCCATAGGATTGAATCCAAAACTTTGTGTATGAAGCTTCCATTAATCCTAGTAATTACTTAACATTTGTAATATTTGCTATATCATATTTAGAGAAATAAAGTACAAAAAATATGAGTCTCCTTCACTGAGATAGTAGGTCATTCGGACAGTAAAAACAAAGTCAGCAAGAGAGTAATAATTCTATACTTAAAGCATGTGAAATGTGTCTTGAACCTTTAGAATTTGTTTTCTAAGACAGTTTGCAATGACATAATAATTTTTTTTCAGAAAAGCACCTCAGTGTCTTTAAACTGTCTTGAAAAAACATTTTCTTCCACGTTACAAATTTATTTTTTCAAAAAAAGTCCTTTTGATGCTTAGGAAATAGTTTTCAGACAATGGTTAAGGGAGGATATCATTTCTTAGCCATCAGAAACATAGCAAATAACAACACAGAAATAAAACTTCTTTCTCTTATGTTTGAGAAAGAAATAAAAGTAAACTATTTTAAGAAAATACTTTGTTTTCCACTAGAACATTTTCCATCCAGATTGGCCTTGACCAGTAAATGTGGTAGTGACATTTTTTTACACTTATTTTTCTTTAAATTTTGATCACCTTGATTACTAATCTGAATACCTCTTATTTTTATGATGGCCTTCCACTTCTTCAGATTTTATTAGGAAAAGCTTTCATAAGTTGTAAGTTGGCATTAAACTCAGTGTAGCTCCTCTGGCATCACAATCTATGCAGGGCAGCTAAGCATTCTTCTGTGAGAAGTGGGAGGCTGTGTGGTGCAGAGGAGAGAGCGTGGTCCCTGCAGCCAGAGACTGCCTTGTGTCCTCATTTGGGCAAGTTACTTCACCTTTCTAAGGCTCTGGTGTGAAATACAGCGATAGACTATGCAGTACTAACCAGAGACAAGATATCTAAAGTGAATGTTCTGTAACGGATGCTCAATAAATGTTGTCACGTATGTGTGGTTTAAGAGTTTAAGCAAATAAGTCCCAGGTTTACACTCAAGCAGGGAACAGAAGCCAGTTGAATTCCTCACAGGGAGAAAATGAATATGCAAAGTTATGTGTGAAGGTAGAACGTTTCTCTGTCCCCTGGGTCTCCTCCCTACCCTGCTCCTAGGGTAGACTGAGCATTTGCAATGTCAATAGTGTACATATGGGAAAGAGAAAGACATAGCTCATTATTTCGAAAGCACAGTCACCAGTGGGGCACTGTCCAGTGTCAGGATACTCTGTTCTTTCTCCTGCTGTGTAGCCTTTGAAGGGTCCCTTTCTTCTCTGGGCTCAAAGGAGCTTCATTTGTTAAGAGATAGGAGGGGCCAAGAGGAGCGGCTGTACCAAGTTATCTCTACGTCTCTCAACAATACTATGAGTCCACAAAAAGTCTACCCAATTTTGTTTCCAATTCAAGCAACTTCTAGCATCCTGTTTCTAATTTTCAAAACCGTTGTTTCCATAATTTGACTTGTTTCCACCAGCCAAAGCAATCAGGACAGATTTAACGCAAAAATCCTACCTAAAAATGTGAAATGTTGCCTCCTCTTCTCTAGTTGATTGTATTGGATACAAAAATAATTTTTGTAATTCTCATGAATAGATCTTGTTGGTTTAAAAGTATAATTACCATTTTATTTTTGCTCCATTATCTATTCTTCCCCCCAACACACACACACACACACACACGAAGAGATGTATATCTGAATATTTATTTGTCACTTAAACCTTACCTCAGATATATTGGAGAAGTGTGGGCTATTTAAAATAATTTTGTGGTAGAACCATTTTTTAAACTGAAGAAATCTTTGGCAAAATAAACTGCTCTCTTCAATTTTTGTTTGTATATTTATCAGTTCTTCATAAATCTGAACTCTTAATAGGTGGTATTATAACCCTGTATTTTTTTTCCACTCTTTCCACATTTTCACCTTAATTACATCCATAAGAATAAATTGTCATAAGGACAGTTCATTTGAATAGTATTTAGTGCCCGGCACCATGCAAATGCCATGGAAGAGGAGAGCTGGGGACAGACACAGGGCACAGGAAAAGTTTAATTTATTCAGCTCTTAGTTCACATCCTTCTCTCTATTTCACTATGAAAATAATGTTAAAGATTTTCAGAATTAAAAAAAATTATTTCGTCTATGTACACAAGCTAGAATTTTTCTGAGGCCCCAGAGTCATCGGGTTAGGGTTAAGGTTAGAGAGAAGAGGAGTAGGAAGGTGAAACAGCAGTAGGAGAAAGGAGAAGCCAGTAGGTGAAGACAGAAGATGCTACATGCTCTGTGATGTGGCATCTTCTCTGGAGCACCAAATAGTCAACCAGAACTCACGAAGTGCCTGGAGAGAGTGGGGTCCTTTCTTGAAGCCACTGGTGAAGAACTGGTCAATGAATCTGAATTGGTCTGGAGCAAACCAGAGATGACATGTATAGAAGCAAGAACTTGAGCAGCAAGGCCTGGAAAGCAGCTCTTAGACTTCCATAGCCTGTGAAGTTTGGTCTGGAGCAAAATTTAATTAGATCTCTGAGGAGTCAGGAACTACCAGGTGACTTCTTTAGTCCAACAACAACAAATAATAATAATGATGAATCATACTCCTTTAGAGCGGAGAGAAAGCAAACACTTAATCCAGCCCCACACAGTTCACAGAAGAAAATCTAAGCCGCACAGAAGTGCAAGCAACCTGCCCTGTGTCACGGGACCAGAAGTGGAAAATCTGGGATTACACTGGACGCTTCCTAAAGCACTTGA